ATTTTACTGTTAGTAATACGATAGTTCGAATTAACTATTGCAGAAAACATTGCATTTTAAAATATTATTAAAACACAAATGTTGCATAATAATATAGGTATACATTTTAATTTTTGGGTTTCAATAATAAACACTTATTAAAGATCTTGTATTCAATTTGCAAGCCTTAGTTATAAAAATTGAATATTTTTTTAATCTCTAACCGCAAAATGATGTACATATTTTTTGAACACATTAATTATTAAAAAATCTTTTGTTAAAAAATGTATAGATTTTTTATGTCACGATTATTTCAACATAGTACCTACAATACGCCATATTATAAAAAAAAATATAATTCATACAACTAGAAATCTTAATTTTCAAATTGCACGTAATAAAAAAAAATTACTTTTGGCTATTGCCATTACAAGATAATTAAAATTTACCTTTATTCGAATAGGTACAAAATATCATATGAAATAACAATCGTTCAATTTATAAGAATATTATTATTTTTCTTTTAATTCCTTTTTCAATGTTAAGTAGGTATATAGCGAGTTTAATCTTATCATGTAATAATTATTCATTTTAACTCTCTATATTCCGCCTACACAAGCATTGCGAATAAAGGAAGAAAATATAAATTGTTTTAATGATTAGGTATAATGTTTATATACCTACCTATATAAATTGTTATCTAATTATTACAGTAAAAACGTTTTGGAAAAATTTAAAATTAAAAAAAAATACATAACATTATGCCTATTGAACATGGTTATTATTTATAAACTTATATTATAATAAAAGTAAAATGATTTCGAATTAAAATAAGAAAGAAAGAAATCGTTGTTGTGTAATGTTAAAAGGATTTCAGTGGAAAATTTGTTTTCATTCTCGCCACATAGATACAACTCATTCGTTTAAAACCAATTTTTTATGGTTTTTAAATAATCTTACACAATAACACTGTACACAATCCATCAATTGCGTTATTATATTAAAAAATATTTTATAATTTCGTTATGCACCTAAAATTAATCGACTAGGTACAACACAGAAATGGCGCCAAACTATAAAACGACGGTCACAAAGTTACTTACGGCAGTATACGAGCTTACCGTACATTCAGATGGCGAGCTCTCATTGGCTGCAGAATTACGTTTGTGATAACATTACACCAACAATTATTATCAATAATATTCATTGTTATTAATTGTTTGTTTTTTAAAAAGTTTTAATCAATTTAATGTTTCGATGATCGCCGCCACACATCTTTTTTTTCTTGATTAATTCATTTATTACCCTAAGGGCTAAGAATTAAATAGTTATACTATTATAGTGCCTATAGCAGTTCATACTTTATACTTAATAAGTATAGACATCTGTGGTTTACCAAAACCCATTAAATAATGTCGAACTTCTACAGTTCTATAATGTAGGTAGGTACAATACAATTTTTCCCCGTCGATCTCATTATATTTAATTGAAATAGGTATTTTATACTATTTTTACTTGTTAGGTACTTGATTACAATTTTCCAAAGTATATCAAGAGTATGACTCGTGAAAGTGAATATTGCTGACTGCTGTTTGGATCAACATTACCTAGTCAGTAATTAACTGTGTTGAAATTGTGTTGAATTAAAATGCTAAAAAGTTTTTTTTTAAATTCTATTTTACAAGTATCACATATTCCCAATTGCTAACTAAATCAATGATATTCATAATTTCATTTCTCATGCCAAATTTAGTTTTTATTGAATATACATCAGGTATGTAGGTTACTTTTTTTAGATTCTGAGCGGTGCTAGAAAGCTAGTGGTTTTACAATGGTGTTTATTTATTTATGTTTTTTTCTTTTTATATCCTGTATACAAAATTTCTACCAGAAAGAGTGCTTCGATTTCAACATATAGTACCTTATCTTTTATCAAATTGGATCAAGATGGTACTTTAGAGGAGTCATTTTTCGATTTTATCAATAGTTATTTAATGCCAAGGTAAAAACCACCAAAAAATTACGAAAAAAACGCTTAAAATTGGATTTTAATTTCTAACGCTTCGTGTATTAACATAGAAACGAATAAAAAATAATAATATTATAATACTTATTCAACTTGCATGATTTAATAATTAATGACAATATAAAATATCTAGTCTGATAGTCCGTCTCCGCTCAGAATCGTTTTGCTTATACAATGATAGAATATTATCATTGAATTCAAGTTTAATACAATCCATTATACAATGACCCACTTGTAACATACTTCCCCACTTTTTTTTAATAGTAAAATGTACTTGTTTATACATTTATAATGTCAAAAATGTAATGAATTATCATTTTTAATTTTTTAGAAACCAATGGATGTAAACAAAGAAATGTTATATTCTCAATGCACCCTCACTCTGTTAGACGACTATTTGAAGACTCACAGTCTAGGTAAGTATGTTGAAAGTGATTTTATTTACTTGTAAAATAAATATTAATAACATAATAATATTATTTTTGTTTTTAGAAATGAAGATTCTTGGATATTTGGCCCACTTGATACTTTGAGTTTGACATAGAACATAATTCTTTACATCTCGATATATATAAATAATCATTAATATTTTCATAGAAATGGTTAAAATTAATGAGTTCTTTTCATTATCTTGTGAAAAATGTGTTGAGATTATTTCCTATAGTGACTTTGCTGTTCCATTTGAGGAAAAAGTAAGTTAACAAAAAATGTATTATAGTATTGTATTTTAATGTTTTATGGATAATCAACTCACCTAGCATGTACATTAATTAATATTATTTTATTTTATATGCACAGTTGCACCTTAAAGTGTAAGACTATAAAATAACATAAATGAGTGGATGGGTGTAATGGGTATATTATACTATGTTATTATCATAACAGTTAATGTTAGTTTTTAATTTTTAAGTATTAAATCTCTTATTAATTCCAAAGCCACTGTGGTATGCCGTGTACCTATAAAATATTTATGTTTCAAACAATTAATCACAATAAGCAGTAGTGTGTAGATATAAATAATAAACTGTAAGTTAAATATAATTTAACCACAGTCTACCTGCTTATAACAATTATAACTATCAATAAATAAATATTAATTTTACTATTAAAGTATATTATCAAAATATTGAAATTATACAATTTGATTCATATTCTATTCAAATATGTTGATCTGCAAATTAAAAATCCAATCCTGCCATGAAACGTGATTCCATATTTTTAGACAAGTATTCAGTTAGATATATTTTGTTATATTTTATTTTAATTTTATTTTTTTATTGTTGTAGGCCTTTGAATGTGTTATAAAATGGGTTAAGCGTATTTGGATTGAAGAAAATGAATTGCCAGTATTAATGAAAAAGTGCGTTTGCCATTTTTTGCATCACACACCCGGTGTATAGTAATAACGTGTTCAAGAGCAACTTCTGAAAAATAATTCTAAATGTTAATATTATTTTTAATGGGTATACATCAAATGGGTAGCTAGTATGAACACAAAAGTGATTTGCTGTGGGTATACTCAATAATCGTTTAAATGAGGTAAATAAATATTTAATTTTTTTTTTATTTAAATTTGTAAAACATTTAATTTCATAGATGGGAGTTTTTTCAAAACATTTGAATTCTGTCGAACGTTATGATCCAACAATGAACTACCTAGTTGAAGAACTTTCTGTATGACATGAAGATGTTAATATAGAAGTTTTGGAAGGTGTTATGTATGCTATCAGTGTTACTATAGAAGTGTACAACCCAACCCCTGGTCCATGGAAAAATTGTCAAGAAGTAACATTGACTTCTGTGTATTTAGTAGAGTAGTCGTTAATACACCACTACATTTTATATCTAATTAGCATTTATAATATTCTTCTTATTTGTATTAAAAATGCACGCATATGACTAAGCTATGATAAAACATATATTTATTATAAATTATTTGGTAGCTATGTCTATACATTTTTTATTTTCTTAAGTTTATTATTTTTGGAATTAGTTTTGTGAACTTCTAAGTTATTGTTATAATTTACTTAACATAACAAATGATTAAATAAATTGTAATATTTATTGAATAATTATACTTAAAAAAATTACTTCGACTTACAAGTTACAATTTACTACTAATACTGTATTAGTTATATATTATATTATGCATGCATATTATATATATTTATATCTTATTATTTGATAAAAATAAAATAAAATAGATAACAATCTTCTAATAAAATAGATTTTTATGAATTAATTTAGCATACGACCTATTACCCATTAGGTGAGCACTTTTACCCCGATAATGGTGTAAAAAGACGCATTTGTTATAATTTTTAATTATTTAGAATTTTTGGTATTTGCTTTGGTAATATCAACTTTTGACCTGAAAATTGAAATCTACGTAATATTTATGATAGGAAAACAATATAACAATATTTCTAAAACGTGTATGTTACCACATACCAGCTGTTAAATGTTAGGCGCGCCATTATACCCCAGGTTACTCTACCTAATAAAGTAATATTAATATAATCAATATAATATAAAATATCCACACTGACAAACCGTCACCGCTCAGAATCGTTCTTCGTCAACAATGATATTATAATATAATCATTTTAATTCAAATTTAATACAATCCATTATACAGTGACCCACTTGAAACCTACTGTAAAGCAGAGCCACGTCCACTTACCAACCTTTTTTTCCATTTATCTTTCACAATTAATTATAATGTTTCTTTCTCTCTTTGACCAGTGTGTATTTTCTACTTTTTATCCTAATATAGGTCAGATTTGAACCTGCCTGTTTTTTATTTTTTCAACAATTTAATTTTTATTTAATATTATGTAGGTATATTATTTTCAACTAAATTATTTGTACATCATACATTTTAGGTATGAAATAGTAAATTTAATTAAATAAGTCAGATTTTGGAAGATGATATTTTATTTACAAGCAAATAATCATGTTCACCTATAAATACCATTTTTTTTATTATCTGAGATCAATCACCTAACAAACGATTCTCCAATATAAGGATAGAATCCTCTCGGATGTTGCACTCGGATACTGTGCAACTGTCTGCAATAAGACGACCGTGATAGAATAATCGTATTTGGTCTGCCATCCAAAAAGATGTAGCTAGTTTTTCATGGATCTTGGCCTTTACAATTTCAATGGTATCTGACGTATTTACTTTCAATTCAAAGTTCTTTTCCTCGAACCGATTTTTTATGAAGATTCGTATTTCATCATTAGGACGCAGCACCAAGTCAAGGGTAGATCCATTGTGAATATTGTAGTTAGAAAGTGTGCGCCCTTTATCAAGTTGATTACTGGCAAAGAGCAAAATTTGTTGATCCGGTGGGATACCTTCTTTGTCTTGGATCTTGGCCATAACATTTTCAATGGAATCAGATGATTCCACATCCAATGTAATGGTCTTCTTTATGAAGATTAGCATACCACCACAGAGACGGACCACCAAGTGGAGAGTTAATTCTTTTTGGAAGTTGTAGTCAGAAAGAGTAGATCCGTTTTAGAGTTGATTTTCAGCAAAGGCCAAACGCTGACTGTCTGATGCGATACCTTTTTTTGTCTTGGATCTTGGCTTTTACTTGTTCAATGGAATCTGATGACTCAAATTCCAAAGTGATAGTTTTACCAGTCAAAGTTTTGACAACGATCTGTTTGTTGAATCTGAAAACCAAATGTAAAAATTAGGTAATTATTAACTTTATAGGAATCAAATATATTAAATTTATAATTAAATAGTTTTTTTATTATATAATAAATATTAAATTTTGAATACAAAACATACTAACTTTAATAAAGTATAATAGCGAATAGGTAATACTCATTGAATATTAATTCAAAATATGCATAGTCTATTTGTATTATTAGTTTGTGAATACGAGAATTATTTATAAAAATATATCAAGAGCATGCATATTTAAATAAATATGAAGTTATTAGTAAAAATGAGAATGTTAAATGATCTGTTAAAAAATCAATTTAATCTGTTTAGAATGTAATTACTAATTACATTAGGTGCTCATTTGACCCGGGGAGCTGTAATTCAATCCAGGGAGCTAAAATGCAAGGTAGATGAGGTGCATGAGGTTCTCTCCCTGGTCCTCGATAATACGAAAAAAAAAAAAGTCTTCATTTGAAAACAAAATAATTTTTATTCATTTTGAGCTAAACCAGTATTTAATATTTAGAGTGTCAACATGTCATGATCTATTATCAAACTTAAAGGTAATACCATTAATATTATGTGCGTTTACCTAAATTAGGATATGTTAAAAATTGTTTTTAAGTACTTATACTTACTTCGCTCAAAAATTAAAATAATGTAAAAACTAACATAAAAGCAAACCAAATGATTTATCATTAATTTTGAAAATCAGTCAATTCACTTAAATACCTAAAAATAATGGACAATACTTAACGTGAATGCGCTGAATATAATAATTTTAATGTTACGCATTGTTAAAAAAAAATATATAACAAATGCGTGGTAACGTCATCTCAGCTTAATATCATGATTTATTTTAAGTAATTGTGGTCAATACAAAGTAATTACCTCGTGTCAAACAGTGTTGATTTGGCTCCCGAGTCCAGAGTAATAATAGGTATAATTTAAAATGTATAAAAACTGATTGATTTATTTTTGATTTTTGAGTATTGATTAATGATGTAATTATTATTATTTATTATGAATTTTATAAGATAACATAATTTAATAGCCAAAAATCCAAAATAAATAAATTAATTTGGTATTTTTTAATAATTATGGCTAGTGTTGGAAGTATGAAATACTACATGGTGAAATATTTCACACATTTAAAATATTTTATTTTTTTTAAATTTCATGAAATTTTCAAACACTTATTACGTCATACCTACGCTGCTAATTGGGAAGAACTACCAACAAAATATTGATTTCCCTAAGGGCCCGTTTTGCAATCATAGCTTAAACCTCGGCTTCGCTAAACCCACTGATTTTACCGTCCGAATTCCAAGGTTAACCCCTAAGGTCCCATGATCCGACACATCTCGATGAGTCGTATCGAATGGAAAATTCAAAAATGCAAAGGCCAGCCATAGAACAAGTGATAGAAAATGTAAAAAAGTGGAAAATCGACCGTTACAAATGCAATACTGAATACATTATCGTACCGCCATTTCATATTTACGAGTTTGCGACAACAATGAACTTCAGTCTTCACCCGCTTGGAGACCGGGGTCGGACATATTTGTTAATCGTCGTCGGCGCCACAAAACGGCATCGCAAAATGAGTCACAAAAACGTTTGAATGTTTTAAAATAAAACTAAAAAATACTTACGTTTAAAAATAATAAGTGGAATCGAATACAAATGGAATCGCAGTCGTCAGCTATGCTATACTGTAATAATTATTACTGTTCTGTTCAACGATTTGGATAACCTCCAGAAAAAAACAAGTGTTTAGACTGAAGACTGCTCACTAAGGTGGCGGGTGGACACTGGACACACACACAACCAACGTATATTATCATGACAAATAAGATAGCTAGTCAGCACTCAACAATCACCAACAGTGTTGCCGTTTTCGAGACTATAAAATAAGTTTTAGTGGTAGACAAAAAAAGCTGGATAATATGGCTAAATTAATTTTTTTCAGTATAAGCTATATAGGCCAAAAAATATTTAAAAAAGCTAGTAATGGCTAAATTAATATTTTTTAATTATAATCTACCTATAAAGGCCAAAAAAATGTCAACAAAAAATTAAATGTAATTAATGCATATTAAATTATAAAATACTAGCTCTAAGTGTAACTCGGGGCGCGTTGAACTCGCTGAGAGTGGGTACCGATTTTGGAGACAGTGAATTATAAAAGTCGCAAAGGTTGTAAGACGAAAGTTTAGGATTTGTGATAAGGATTAGTGATATGGATTGGAGATAAGGCTAGGCGCTTTGGCGGGACTGTTAAAAGTTTGAGCGTCTAGCAATCCGGCACAAACGTTATAAATGGATAGGCTGGAAACGATCTCCAGGATCACCTATATAGAGTATACCTGCACATAGAGTGGTATGTGCCGTAGCATGACCGATGCTTTATCTTATGTAAACAGTGTAAAGTCGAAAACCGTGTTGGAATTTCTAGCAAGTCAGTCATCTCAAGTCAAAACCAAGATTAACTTTCAAGTTAGCCACCTAGGTAGGCAATCCGATATAAAATACAAACTATATTTATATAACAATCATGGAAATTTTAAAAAATATGCAATTATAATAATTCCTAATAAAACAAATATAATATGTACCTATTTATTGTGTAATATATTATGACAATGACTTTAAATAATAATAATAATGTACGATATGTTCCTGTGTTATTATATTATTATCTAATTTATATGAAAAATATAGTGAAAAAAAAATGCAAAAAAAGTCGGGTTTAGCCGTGTACGCCCGGAGAGCGTACGACGGAATCTAACCCGGAACCTACGTGTTTCCTACCTGACGCCTATCCTACTCGGACACAGTTTGAGAAGTGAAATACGGTCAAAACATCAACACTTAAGCCGTGTCTACGCACGTCTACGGAGCGACGTAAACCGATATATTCGATCGCTTTCCGCTGGTTTTTCTATTCTTTCGTTCGGTTCGGACCAGGGCGGTCGTATCACGACTGCCTTGGTCTGGAATATTATGGATTGCCGAACGTTTTTGTTCGTGCGCGGAGACCGAACGCCGTTGAAAGTCAAAATCAGGTAAGTCCCGTCTTGTATGTCCGTAAGGGCTCCGTCGGACAGAAAACGTGGTTTTGTAATTTGTTACAAAGCGGCGTTATAACGCGTTCGGTTTGACGGTGCATCAAGGCTCAGTCAAACACAAAGCGATTTGTCCAAAGCGACACTGTAAAATAATACAACCACGCGGACTGTCCGCCACGGACAGCGGACCCGTACACCATGGCAGACCGCTTTCTGTTTGACCGAGCCTTTAACGTTACGATTATATTTTAGCGTTTTGCCTTGCGTGACTAATTTCATAAAACGTGGTTCTGTTTCACTTAATATCGTTCATTGACATAAAATAACACATGGTTACAATTAATCATGGGCTGGTAGCGGCACACACAATTGCGAATAACCCATCACACTCTTCGCACTTCGCCGGACGTCCCGACTCACAGCCCGACTGCCTTAGTACTTATGTTTGTTCGCCTACTTTTCTATCGCGGTTTGCGGCAACGACTTGCGGTGTGTTGAGTTAGGACAAGGTGACTCAATATATTATAAAACAGAAATAACGCTTATGCATACTCTTATGCTTATGTAAGTGCGCTACGCGCTTAATAATTATAATAGGTAACAACAGTCAACAACTTAGGTACATCAAACAAGATATCATAAAATACTAACAGACAGGGTGCCCCAAAACATAACAATACACTTAAATCAATTACAACGTTATGATAAGCCTTTTGACCTGGTCCGCCGTCGATGATCGGTTTACTTCATATGGACGTTGATGGATTGGCAACAAGCCAGCGGCGGAACGCAATAGTATAAGCGGCGGCACGCAATGATACACCGGTGACACAAACCACGAAGTTTAACAACGCGACGACTTAACACAGAAACGCGTCGGTTGTAGGTACCTACACGTGGTTTGGTCCGTTGGTCGCCAAAACCAAGTGAAACGCGGCGAGCGAACGCAACGATGCGTCGGGCTCGACCGCCTGGAAAAGACACACGACTAGGAGGCGGCACAGCCTACGGTTACGAATGGGCCGGCGCTGGACGGCCGAGGAGGAGGTAAGCCACCTCGTGAGCTTCGGCATCCGAGGCGCAGCTTTGGTGACATATGCCGAGACTACGGTGGCGCGAAAACGCGTCCGTGTTCGAACAACTTACTAGCCATGAACTGCCCCTACCCCCCTCCCCCCACCGTGTGCAATGCCGTTACCAGCCCATGATTAAAAATGATTAAATTAAATGCATGATTAATTTATTGTAAGCATCAGCGGCGAATTCTCCGGGCATGCTAAGCATACTAAGCACGCTTAAAATTAAAAAGTAGAGATTTAAGTGAATTATTTTTTTTCATGGTATAAATATAATAATTTATAATACTATAGTACTATATTATATATTACTTATATACTATACGCCACTTGTGCCAATATAATATAACTTTAAGATACATTTATAATTTAAATTGTTGTAATCGTTCTTTAACAGAGCTATACAATATTAAATATTACTTGCTGAATTAAAAAAAATATAGTACAATATCGACAATACTTTTGTAAAAGTACCAACCACAATCCTGTGAATATAAATATAGACCCACACAGAACAGAACATGATTGCACACTATCCCTTTCCTGACAAAATCTCAAAAAGATTGTTCACTAAATGATACAGGTATATGGACATATGACATAATATACAATACAATAA